GCTGATGTGGGACGCCTGCGGCATTGAGCTTGTGGGAGCTGGCGTGGCCTGCCAGCTTCCTCCATGGCACCCAGGCAGAGGCCTGGCGGGAGCCTCCACCCAGCAGCGGTCCGGGACCTGGCCTGAGGCCAGTCGGCTCGACTCTGCCTGGGCACAGCCCTGGGGCCTGGCTGGAAGCCCGCCTGGACCCTGGAGAGCCCCATGGGGTGGGGTGGCCCCGCTGTGCCGGACAGCGTTCACTTAAGAGCCTCCGACAAGGTGGAAGGCCTGCCTGCCAAGGCTTCCCGGCCAAAGCCCAGCAGTGTCTCTGGCGCAGGCTGGAGCGCCTCCTGCCCAGGCTGCTGGAGGGGAGGGGAGGGGAGGGGAGGGGAGGGGAGCCGTGGCAGCCGCTCACGCAGGTGATGCCCGCAGCTGGGCGCACCAAGGACCAGCCGCTACCTGGGCCAGAGCCCAGCCTTCCACAGTGGTCCATCCGGGCCTCGCGAGGTGCCCAGATGGAGGCTTCCCCCGCCAGCAGCAGGCTTGGTGGGCCACACAAGCTCCCCCGCCCAGGGACGGCCCAGCCGGTGCATGAAGGCGCACTCTGCGGCTGATGGCTGTGCCCCTTCCGCCCTGCGCCCAGCAGGGACCACGCGCAGCCCGCTTTCCCTCTCGGCTCATGCAAACTGGAGCCTGCAAGGCCCTCGCTACGCCTCTGCGTGGTGCCCCCAACTGCCTCCGACATTTCTAGGGTGCTCCTAATGCAGGAGTCAGAGGGACGGCTGGGGAGGGGCACAGGCGGCCGTGGCTTGCCAGGCACAGAGAGGGGCTTCCCGCTGGGAGGCCCGGCCCCGGGCAGCTGTTTGTGATGGGGGCCTCCCCACGGGCTTTGCAGTGCGGCTCCCATGGCAGAGGGGCCCTGGGGCAGCTCCAGGGCTCCGCTGATGGGCAGCTCAGGGTGAGGGGCTCCGTGGGAGGCAGCAGCCACCCCCAGCCGGCTCCGGCGCCCTGGAAGAGCCCTGGGAGGCCGCTCTGCACCGGCCGGCCCCTTGCCCTGCTCCTCGGAGCGCGGCCGCCACCTCAGCACAGCCAGGCCTGCCTCTGGACGCAGGACGTGCTGAGCAGGCGCCAGCGGCATCCCGAGCGTTCCACCTGGGCAGCTGCCAAGGGAGCCTGCCAGGCCCCAAGCTGTCTGCAGAGCTGCAGCTGCGATGCAACAGCGGCCAGGAGCCGTGGGGGAGGGGTGGCTGCAGCCGTGGGATGGGGGGGACGGGGGGGTCTGCTCAGTGCAGCGGAAGCTTGGCCCGGACAGGCAGACACTCCGGGGGGAGAGCGACCTGCAGCATGGGGCGCCTGGGCAGACGGAGCCCGGGAAACCCCCTCAGGGGCCTTCTCCCTCCAGAGCCTGGGCACGGGCAGCCGGGGCTGGCCATGGGCAGCTCAGGGGGGGGGGGGGGGCGGGAAGGGGGGGGGGGGCGCCCTCCCGGGGTTCCAGGCCCTGCTTGTGTGGGAGCTCAGCAGGGGGCCCAAGACCAGTCCCCCAGGCTCAGCCTGGCCTGCTCTGCAGGGCTGCTGAGAGGAAAAGTGGAAGTGGGAGGAGGCAGGGTGGGTTTCATCCCCCCTCTGCTCCTGGGGGCGAAGCAGGCAAGTCCATGAACACGCCTGTGCACCCAAGCGGGGGCCCTTCTCTCGCCTGCGCTGCCGGCAGGGCCTTGTGCTCCCCAGGCAGGCTTGTGCCGGGCCTCTGGGGCCGGCAGGGCCATGCCAGCAACGCCCCCGGGAGGGCCAGCGGCCCCCTGCCCTGTTCCAGCCGAGCAGGTGGCCGGGGCCTTCGGCATCTGGCGGGGCCTGCCGCTACAGGCCGAGGTCGCCCCTTCCTCTGCCGACCTGTCAGTGGGAGCGAGTCTTTAGGCTGGCGCCTTTCGGCCTCTGCTGCACTGTTCACAGCCCCCCTTGGAGGACTCCAGTTCTCGCCACACCACGCCCCTGGCGCTTGCCCCACAGAAGTGCGTGCGTGGGGGACCCGTGCCGGGGAGGCCACCCGCCAGCCCTGCTTTTGGCCTCCTGCAGTGCCCCACGGGCCACCTATCAGCAAGGGCTGCTCGGCACCGGGAGAACTCATTGGACGCTATTTTTGGACAAGAGCAGCCTTGGCCATTCCAGAGGTGCTCGAAAAGTGAATGGACTCGTCACGCAAAGACCCCACATTACAAACCGAAGCACAACGACAAGCCTGACGCGGAAGCCTTCCACTGCACAAGCCCCTCACTCGCCCGGAAGTGTCCGGGCAGATACATTCCGCTGCCACAGACCTGCTTGCCATCAGACACACCGGGGCGGCCGCCTGGTGGAGCAGCGTGCTCCGGCTCTCGCCCGCCTCAGCCTCCGCGTTCGGCTCCAGCCTCCTGGCAGGCCTGCCTGGGACGGCGACCTGGCCGGTCATGGCAGAAGGACAATGTCCTGGGCTTGGGCGGCCACGGGCAGCTTTGGTTGCCCCGGGGTTAGAGGAGGAGCCGGGAAGGCTGGGAAAGAGCTACTCCCAAGACCACTCGGGAACGAATAACCCCAGAGGTCAGGAAAAGGAGAAGCTATCCTGGGAGAGGAGGGGACAGAGGGCTGCACAAGCCTGAGCAGGAAGACGGGGCCCCACCACAAACAGTGCCAGCACACTCGGTCGCCAGCAGCAATGGATCTGCAGAGCAGACAAAAGAAACGCTTCCATAATCGCACAGCCCACTCTCGGGACATGCTCCTGGCCATGAGCTCTGGGCAGCTTCAGGAGGGGACTCGGGGCATTCGCGAAAGAGAGGAGGCGGAGGCGTCTCGGAGCAGCTCAAGGCCCAGGAGAGCCTCCAGGTTCCACCTCCCTCTGGGTGCGGGAACGAGCATTATGGGGAGGCCCCTTCAAGGTGCCCTGCCTGCAGGCCCCTGCTGCACAGGGAAGGCCAGGCTCAGCCGCTGTCCTCCAACAAGACCGACTGTTCCTCGCTGCAGCCCCAGGCGCCCCTTCTCCCTCCGGCCGGCCTGGGCTGCCTGCTCGAAGGGCCCTCCTGGACCCCGCCAGCCCCTCCATCCTCCCTGTGGCTATGCAGATAATTCTGGCCAGGGTTGCCCTCCGGCCGGAACAGGAACAGGAGAGGCAAGCAGTGGGCAGGAGGTCGCAGCAGGGAGGGGAGGGGAGGGGAGGAAGGGAGGGGAGGGCTCGCTCAGCTCAGCTGGGGAGCCGAGGAGAGGGAGGCTGCGCCGCAGGCTGCACGGATGGCTGGACAGAGCCATTTCTGGGAAGCGAGGGCAGCTCCAACCCAGTTTCAAAGTTCAGAACGGACCGGGAGGCTCTGGTGGGGAAGGCCCTTCTCCCCAGCAGCCCTCTCTGCAGCCCAGTCGCCAGGCGCCACTTGGGCAGAGCAGTGTTTCCTCCCAAGGAGGGAGGTGCCTTCTGGGGACGGTGGGGAGAAACGGAGGCTGGGGTGTGAGGGGCGCCAGGACAGTCTCGGCTAGGAAGGGGCCAGCTGGCTGCCAGAGCGGAGCGACCGAGGGCAGCCCCGTTGCCCAGGTGAAGGGGGGGGAGGGCAGGGCTCCACAGCGAGCCAAATTGCCCCACAGGCGTGGGCAGGCAGGTCCGGGGAGAAGCAGCCACCCTCTCGACCTGAAGGAAGAACCCCGACAGGCGGCCGCCACAGCTGCTCCACTTCCAGCTCAGGCCTTGCCCCATGCAAGGCTGTGCCCACAGCGGGGCCGAAGGGAGGGGGGCAGGCTGGGCTTCTCGCAGGGGCGCTGCGCACGCGGCACCTCTGAAGCACACGCCAAGAAAGCTTCCAGCCAGCTGCTCCGAGTGGGTGTCTGAGAAGTGCCCCAGTGCGCGATGTGCTCGGATTAGGAAATGCTTCTTGCCGCTAGCCCTGCCGAGTCCAGCCGGGGCACAGGGTGTGGCACCGGGCCCCGGTCTCCCATGCTCCCCAAAAGAACCACTCCCGAACCAGGGTACCCACGGTGCCGAGCCATCGGGTCGCCCACGAGCCTCGCTGACGGGCGCCCTGCAAGCCGGCGGTGGCGGCTCCCCAGGGCTGCGGGCAGGGGCCTTTCCCAGCCCTGCCTACCTGGGGGTGCTGCCGGGCCGGGCGTGGGACCAGAGGCATGCAAAGCGGCAGCTCCACCCCCCCCCCACCGCTGTTATGGGGCGCGTGGGTCTCAAGCGTGGCCAGAGAGCATGTGCACGGCAGGGGGGGAGGGTGTCATGAGGAAAGGCTGGCCAGGAAAGGGCCGGCTGCCCACGGGGCTGCCCCGGCTCCACGGTCCCCCCAGGCCTGCAGGAGCCCCCGGGCGGGTGTCATGGTGAGGACGGGGCCTCTGCGGAGCTCCTCTGCCAGGGCCTCGTGCCTGGTGCCCACATGCGTGCGGGTTGCTGTGGCAGTGCCTGGCACGCCCCGCAGTGCAAGCCCAGGGCACGGTGGCCACTCAGGCACCAGGGAGGGCTCGAAGCCCAGGCGAGGTGGGCCAGGGACAAGCTCAGATCTGTGCGGAAGGCGCTCTGCACACCCTCAGAGAACCAGGCACCGGCTGCTGCCCTGGACTCTGCCCCTGCCACTGCACAACACAGGCTCTGCACCGCCGCAGCCAGAGGCGAGCCGGCCAGGTGCCACCTCTGGCCGGCCAGGTGCCACGGCGACTCCCCGGCACCCGGTCGCCCTCGCATTCCACACGTCTTCCTGTCCCTCGCCCGGCCCGCTGGTGCAGGAGCTCCGGCTCCGACGCGGGCGGGGGGCGCCGGGACGAAGTGACACGTCCGCCCGCGGCTCTCGCACAAAACGCCGGCGGGGCGCGAGGGAGGAGAGGACAATAGCCCGGGCGAGCGGCGACCGCGCAGCCGGCCGAGCGCCAGCGCCGCTCCCTCCTCGCCGCCGAGGGCCGCCCCGGCGCCCGTCCCGACGCGCGGAGGCGAGAGGCCGCCCGCTGCAACCCTCCGCGCAGACGAGCCCGGGCCCGGGCCCGGGCGGGCGCCGCCGCCGCCGCCGCCTCCTTACCTTGGCACTGGCCGAGCTGCGGGGCGAGGCGAGGCGTCTCGGTGCGGCTTTGTGCGCACCCGGTAACGGCGCTCACAGGGCGCCGGCGATCCTCTTCGCCCCTCGCGGTGCCCCAGGAGGGCTCTCACCGCCGCGAGCGACCTCCGCAGGGCGACGGCCACCCCCACCGGCCACGACGGGGCGCCCCGCCGCAGCGCCACATCTGCGCCGCTGGAGGCGCGGAGGGCTGGAGGCGAGGCGAGGCGAGGCGGAGGGATCCCCTCGGGCGAGGGCGGCGTCGATGCGGGAGGGGGCGCCGGCGCCGGAGGAGGTCTGTGCTTCCCCCTCCCCCAGCTCTTCGGGCGCGGGGGAGGCGAGTCGTGGGCGCGGAAGGGCTGCGGACGGCGGCGATCGCCTGCGCGAGCGAGGAGGGGGCGGGCGCGGAGAGGTGTCTGTGCGGCAGAGGCGGCGGCGCGGGTGTTTCCCTTCTCGGCGCGCTTGATTTATGGCCGCCCGGGTGCGGAGCTGCGGGAGAGCGATCAGCCCCGCTCCGCTCCGGCCTCCAGCACGCTCTCCATGGCCAGGGCCGGAGAAGCGCCCCCCCGCGCGGCGGGCGGGGACGGGACGAACGCAGACCCACCCCCGCCCGGGCTCCGCCTCCCCCCGCCCCTCGGGAAGGGGCAGCGCTAGGACAGGCCGAGGAGCCGGGCGGGGAGGGCGCAGCCAGCCGAGGCCGACGCGCACGGGCGGCCCCTCCTCCCCGCAGGAATCCGGGCCCGCGCCCAAGCGAGGCCACCGGGCGCGGCGCCCCTCTCTGCAGCCCCCTCCCCGAGCCCCGCTGGGGGCGGGGCGGGGCGGGGCGGGGGCGGCGGGCCTCAGCTCCGCGGAGCGGCTGGCGTCGGACCCCTGGGTTCTCCAGGCCCGGGCGAGCCGCAGAGCGCGCGCCCCAGCGCTGACTCCCAGCGGGCCGATATGTCCTCCGAGGCCGGGACTCCCTGCGGCGGGCGGCGTCCGCACCGGGAGGCGCGATGCAAGCGGGCGATCCGCTCGGAGCGCGGCACTCCCGCAGTGCGGCCGGGCCGGGGCCACGGGGAGGCCGAGGAGCCGGGCTCGCGGGGAGGCGTGCAGGGGCGCCCGGCTGCGCGCTCGCCAAGGGCAGCCCCTCCCCGCGTTCTCGCGCCCCGCCAGCGGCCCGCCTCCGCCTCCCCCGCGGAGCCGCTTCGCCACCAGCGGCTGACCGTCGGAAGGGGACGCCGCGCTTCGCCAGCTGCCCCCTCCCGCACGGGCAGAGGCACAGCCCGGGGCCCGGGAGGAGGCCGGCGCTGCTGGCAGGTGCAGCGGGGGCCGCGCAGCAGGCGGCGAGCCCGGCCCGGGTCTCTGCCACGTCCCCCCGAGGGAAAGCGCGGCGGCAGTGGGCGCGAGCCCTCCCGCCTCGCCCGGGGTAGTGTCGGCGCCCCGTGCCAACCAGCCCGTCGCTGTTGCCCGGAGCAGGGCGCCTCCTGCGGGCAGCCCCTTCCCCGAGGGGCAGTTTCAGGGCTGCGGGGCCCGGCGGCCTTCCGAGAGAGGTCCTGGGGCGCCCCCTTTCGGGAGGGCTGGTTCTTATTGGCAGGCTGCCCCCCCCCCCCCGGCCGGGCTCGTGCCCGGGGACTCCGAGGGGCCTTTTGGGCTGGAGCGGCCGCAGAGGCCCCCCGCTCCCCCGGCAAGGCGCGCTCCGGAGGCGGAGGCACGGGGGGGGGGCTGAGCTCAGGGGAAGCCCAGCGGCCGGGCACGCCCGCCCGCCCCGCCGCTGTGCCCACACGCCCTCGGGAGGGGCGGGCCCAGCGCTGGCAGCCTTCCACAGGCACATGTGGCCGGCCGGCCCTGCGTGGGCAGCCTCTCCTTCCGGAGGCAGGATGCTGGGAGCGGGCAGAGGGAATGGGTCACACTCCCCCCCCCATAGGAAGTGCGGGGGACGGGGGGGGCCGCGCAGAGGCGGAGACAAATTCTTGAAACATGACCAAGGAGAGGCACCCTCCCCGAGGCCCTGCGGCCCGAAGGAGGGGAAGGAGGCCGCTTCCTTTCTGCAGCTTCTGGAGGCCGGGAGGGGATGTGTGCAGGAGTCCGAAGCCCTGGTGGGCTCGGCTTCCTGCTGGCATCCCCGGGGCGCCCAGAGGCCAGGCCGAGGGGGACCGGGCAGTCCCAGGCAGTGGCACCCCGCCGGCCGCCACAATCCCCAGTGGAGCGGAAAAGGGCGCTGCAGCTCTCTGGCGAAGGCCCCGGCCAGCCCTCTGGGGTAGGAGAGGCTGCAGAGGCTGGCCGCCAGCAGGGTCTGAGGACCCCTCCCCTCGTGTGCAGCCTGGAAGGCCCCCCGGACAGCCTGGGGCTGCCCCCACCAGCTTGGCAGAATCCTGGAACAGCAGAGTTGGAAGGGCCAGGGAGGCCAGCGGGTCCAACCCCTGCGGTTGCCGGACGCCAGTCTATGGCATCCACTCAGGGTGGTCCAGCACCAACGAGGGCACAGAAGCCCCGCCGCCTGGGGCATGCCAGGGACTCTCCCTCGGTCCCCTCTGGAGCAGGGACAGCCGCTCAACCAGAAGCATCCTGGCAAAGCACAACAAAGGCGTCTTTCTCTTGCGCTCCAGGGACCCTCCTCTTCCCCCCTCCACGGGGGCCTCCTGGGGTGAGCCGGGCACCTTGCCTGAATCTGGCCTGCCTGGCACCGCGAGGAGGGGAGGGGAGGGGAGGGTGGCCATGTGTCCCTTGAGCCTTATCCTGACTGTGGACGCCCATGGCAGGACAGTGGAGGGGAGGGGTCTGTGGCAGCCACCTTTCTGTGGCGAAGGAAGCAGAGAGGAGCTTCTGGCCTGGGGTGCCCCCTCATGGCCTGTAGAGTGAGGCAGGCTGGCAAGGTTTGCATTACTGGGTCCGTGCAGAGTCTGTCCTACCGGAACTGCCTGCCCTTCTCCCATCTTCAGAGTCCAGATGGAATTCCCCACACACCCGCACAGACCGGACACGCGGCTGATGCAGCTGTGAGTGGAAGCCAAGCCTGAGGCCCCCCAGAGCCTTGTGCCGACTGGGATCCAGCCACACACGGCTGCAGCGCGGGATGCTTGCCGTCTCGGGCCCACCTGCGCCAGCTGGCCAGCTTGTCCCTCACCCCGCAGCTGCAGCAGCGCACGTCCCTTGCCCTCGATGCCTTTTGGGCCTGGCAGCGTCACCCACAGCGCTTCTGTGGAGGTCTCTGCTGCTCTCAGGGTTTCCAATTCGTTGGGCGGTATGCCAGGACATGCCTCTCGGGGCCTCTGGCAGAGTTCCTACCAGAGATGAGCACATCCGGCTTGCTTGCCGCACGCTATGAGGCCCCCGTCATGCCGACAGTGTCTAGGGTCTCCCACAGACACAGGCACCCCAGTTCTGTCCTGGTCCAGTGGCTCCTGGAATGCGCACGAGAGTCTTTCTGGGGTGCTGCTCTGCGGGTGCATCTTCCGAGGGGTGTCTGGCCTCTTTGGTTGGCAGTCATGTGGCATCATGTGGACGTGGCTTATTCCCTCCCTGCCTCCGCCTGGGCAAGCAGAAGCACCTTCATCTTCATCCACGGGGCCTGGATATTACGTTCTCGGTGGAATATCTCCGTTTTTTGCTCATCTTCCAACCAAGGGGGGGGGGGTCCCACCGAGGGACCGTTGCCCTCTGCCTCAGAGTGACACCATCCTTCCCAAGAAGCCAGGCTGGCAGGGGGCTGTCCCAGGGCTGGGATGACATTATTAAGCCCCCCCCCCCCGGTGGCCTTATAAACCCACTTCCCTGCCTCTCGAATTCCCCAGGGCAGCACCCTTGACTCTGGGGGAATGAACTCGCTACTCCTCCCCCCAAGTGCCCCCACCTCTTCTGTCCAGCTGGCAGAGCCCCCCTGCAGCATGCAGCGCCATACGCCGGGGCACCCACACACCTCGGCTCCTTCACCCTCATAACTTTCAGGAACTGTAATTGCTGTTATTGGAAAATGCATTCATTTACTGGGAGAAGGCAGGAGATTTGTTTACCAGATGTTCTGAAGGATAGATTGGTTTTAATACTCTTCTTCTCTGAACTGCTGTGCTGTTTGTTACCTTCATTCAATCACCATGAGTTGACCTGTTTGGGCAGCTGGTTTTTGATCAGTGTTTCCTGTTTTGCAATTGCTTGATTTATCATTGTTACACGTTTTGCTGGTAAACCCCACGAAGAGCCCCGTGGGCTACAGGGTGGTATACAGATGTAATAAATAAGTATTCCATACTGCCCACAAGGCAGGGCAGTTCAGACGCGGCTCCGGCGTTTGGCGTTTGGAGAGCCGCCACGTCCCGCGAAGGCCCGCCGGGAGCCGCGTTTCCCCACCGCTCGCTAGGCGCGGGCGCGCTCTTCGGCCGGCCGTGCCCGCTGCGGCGCCCGCGCCGCCTCGACTCCCCCGCGCCGGAGCAAAGCACCTGCGCGGGGCGGGCACCGGAGGCCTCCCGCGGCACGGGCTGCAGAGGCGCCTTCCGGCCGCCGCGCTTCCCGCAGAGCCTCCGGGGTCACGTCCCGCCTGCGCGACTCCTCGCCCGCCCCTGCGCGCCGGGCTTGGCCACGGGCGCCCCCTGGCGGGGCCGGCGCGGGGGGCCGGCGCAGCGTCCGCTTCTCGGGG